GAAAGTTTTTTTTACATAATATCATGCTGGATGTAGTGCTTGAACCTTAAAATAAAAAAACTTAAATCCAAAAGCATTGAAGACATCTATCATATGTTCTTGGTCCTTTCCAAATTATCCCAATGGCATTATTTGGGAGGAACAAGAGAGTATGAAACTGCATCTGAGTTGTTACAATAAAATTACTTTACCAAATCTTATACTCTGTGGTTTTAATCTCTTTTACTCACACATATAATGAGTTTAACCAATATACTAATCTTGCATTCATAAATGATCATGAATACTATGACTTTAAGACCTTGCTCTTTTAAAAATGTTATTTAGAATATTTTTCTTCTTATCTCTACTTCACACTTCAGAGACTTATTGAAATGTTCCTGCTAATTTCACTTGCAAACTATATCCTTATTACTGGTATTTACTGCACTTAACCTTCACCTTTCTGAAAGCAACATTAAGGTGTAATTTGCATAAGTGAAAATCATTACATTTGAATGCTTCCCTGACTATATTTTTGAAATCACTTTTCCATAAATTACTTTACAAAAACATTATTGAGGAAAAGTCATTTTGAAAGGACAATGAAGAAATTTTCTTCACAAAGTAAATTGATTTTGATTTTCCCTTCATAGATTGATCTTTGGCCAATATAAATTCAATGTAAGTGCCTCTATATTAGTCTTCCTACTATTCAGATGTGAATTCCTCTCACTGGTGTTCTTTACTTCATATTCAATTTCTATGACTAAACGCCTACCTCAACAAAAGAAGCAGATTAAATCTCAAGAAACTGATTATTAAAGAGAATGGGGAAAAATGTAAATATATATATTGGGGTTCCAAAATTAGGTAATATTGGATGATTATGAAAAATATAACATATGCATGTGTGTCCTGATTGCTGTTTTGTTTTCAGAATTATTGCAGGAAAAAATTAGCTTTTCCAATACTTATTTTGAACTAGAGTTTTCACATTGTACTTAAATCTTTTTAAATAAACTTCATACAAAATTCCACAAAACAGGTCATTTCTGCTGGACTTTGAGACAAAAAGTTGATCAATACCATTCCGTGCAAGGTCTGGCACTTTATTATAGTACCAAAGAAACATTAAACACTTTATCAAAGAAACACAATGATTTCAATCAGTTGTTCTTCTCTAGTGAGAACAAAGAAGTTACGTACCTAAGCTGCGGCAAGATATTTTGCTGTGATATAAGCAAGAACCATACTGCTAAATATGTACACAAGTTACAGAGGGAAGTTTAGTTCTCTTAAAATGAGATAAAATTTCATGTCTTACATCATGAAAATATATTCCTTTTGTGAATAAGAACCTAGATCTATTTAGATCTGTAAATTTATAACAGGCAAAATTTTATAATGTAACAATGTCATAATTTTAAATAGCAAATAATTTAAATAGTAAACACATGCTTAAATATTTTTGTTAAGTCTCTCATGTGATTAAATTTCTTGTAAAAAAGTTTCATTGCATGCCAAACACCTGTTGAAATGAAGTATTTATCTACAGATTATTAGTAGTTTTAAAAATTCATTTTAGGAATTTTGTAAATAACAATCTCTGACAACTTGGTTTATGAAGTTCCAAAAGAAAAGAAAAACAAGCTTGTCTAATTTAGTTTCTAAAAATTGTGTTATCAGTAACAAATCAGTAAAGGTGTGAAATTTGTCAAATAGTTGTACAACATTTTAAATTCTGTTATTTTGTTTTTCTGAAAATGTAGCCATCATTCTATTTTTGATAGTGGAATCATTCAGAATTTGTGAACCTATAATTCTTTATTGGCATGGAGAATCATAAAACTGAAAAAAATTCTTGCAAGCGGTTTTATGTACTACAGCGAAGCTGCAACTCACAAGGGGAAAGAGGAAAATTATATCTCTAAGCAAAAACTCTAAATCTTAACCCTAGTGAATTAACCTCAATTGCATCTTAGGAAAAAGCTTCTCTCTGGAATCTCAGCATTTATGAAAATGTCAATAATTTTGCAGATGACGAAGAAAATGTGTTTCTATTTAATGTGCGAACTGATTCCATGACCTAAATGGAAATGATCAGAATTTTTACCTAAGTACTTTTTCCAAAAGAAAAGTCTGCTAGAAAAACTTAAATGGACTATTTATATGCAGAAACAACTGTCATTTACTGCCATTTTAGCTTTATTAATGTATAATTAACAATTTAAATTATAATACATTTAAATTGTATAAATGTGATAATTCGATATTCATCTGTATTGTGAAAGGATTCTCATAGTCAAGGTACTTACCACATTTACTTTTTCTTCAGTGAGAAAGCTTAAGATTTACTCTAAATTTCAATCATAAATTTATAATAAGTTATAAATTTCAATTATACAAAACAGTATTATTAGCTATAGTTACCATTCAACACACTAAATACTCACATTTCTTTCATCTTATAACAAAATTTGTACACTTTACCCCATTCCCCACATACCCACCCCCAATATCTGTTAGTGTGTTATTTAGATAGTTTTACACTCTTAAGTTGTAAGTGTGCTGTTTAAGTTTCTGCTTATAATAGCCTGATATATAAGATACACATTCCCTTTATTGATACAGTTATTAAACTATATAATAAAATTTTTCTCTAACTAGTGAGGGTATTTAAAATATTAAGCCTATAAATTAATGTTCTGCTTGTCACTGTCATAATCACCTTCAGTTGCTATAACAAAATACCATATAGTGGGTGGTTTAAACAAAAAATATATATTCCTTACATTTCCAAAGGCTGAGAAGTTCCAAGGCCAAGGTGTCAGCCAATTTGGTTCCTGGTGAGGATTCTTTTCCTGTGAGAGAAGATCACCTTCTCACTAGGTACTCACAGGGCAGATAGAGAGGGATGTTTTATTCTCTTCCTCTTCTTATGGGGATATTACCTTCCCCTGAAGGCCTCATCTCCAAATATAGTCACAATTTTGCTTATAGCTTCAATATATGAAATTAGTGGGTGGTCATCATCTGCCAAAGTATTTAGATTTAGTATGTGTATAACTTTCATCACTTCTTGGTTTTCTAACCTAAAGACTATACATTTTTTCTGTAAAGATGGAAAAAATAGTACTTTGAAGTTGCTTTATTTTAAGCATAATTCCTTTTTTTAGATACTGCTTTTTAGAAAATTTTTTGATTCACAGTAAAATTGAGTAGAAGTTAAAGATTTCCCTTGTGCCCCCTACCCTCATATGCATAGTCTGTCCCCTTATCAACACCTGTCACCTGTCAGAACTGATGGTCCTACATTGGTCTGTTATAATCATCCTAAGTCCATAGTTCACATTTAGATTTATTCTTGTTGGTCCTCCCCGGTGGCACAGCGGGTTATGCACAAGGCTGTGAAGCTGTCCACAGCCTCTGCAGCGCCAGTTCGATTCCCGGCCCACCAGGGAGATTCCCACATGGCTGGGCAGACCTCTCCTGCCTCGTCCGCTGCTCCCCTCAGCAGTGTACTTCAGTCCTGCCTGTTCTGCTCCCTGTTCTGTCTCTGGTGAATTCTCTCACCCTCCCGCGCCTCTGGCCTGTACCCCAGTGCTGGTATAAATAAATAAAATATTTTTTAAAAATCTTGTAACTCTTTAAAAAAAAAAAAGATTCATTCTTGTTGTGCAATCTATAAGTTTGCACAATGTATAATGGCATGTATCCACTCTTACAGTATCATATAGAGTAGTTACCACTACCCTAAATGTCCTCTGTTCTCTGTCTAGTCATCCTTTCCTCCCCTAGCCACAAGTGAAAACTAAATAACTCCTGGCAAATATTCTTTTAACTGTCTCCATAGTTTTGTCTTTTCCAGTTTTGTCTTTTGTCATATAGTTAGACTCATACAGTATATATAGCCTTTTCAGAAGGAATTATGTCACTCAGTAACATGCATTTGAAGTTCCTTCATGTCTTGTCCTGGCAGTGTTCAGTTATTCCATTATTTGGACATGACACTTGATCCATTTACCTACCAAAGGATACAATGATTACTTCTAAGTTTGGGATATTATGAGTAAGTTGCTATAAAACATCCATGTGCAGACTTTGTGTGCACATACATAGGTTTCCACCTATTTGAGGTAAAGACAATTACTGGATTATATGGTAAGAGTAACTTTAGTTTTTAAATAAACCATCAAATGGTCTTCAAAGTATCTATACCATTTTGCATTCCCACCAGGATGGATGAGATTTCCTGTTGTTTCACATCCTCATCAGCATTTACTGTTGTCAGTGACCGGATTTGGGTCATTCTAATGGTTGTCTCATTGTTTTAATTTGCATTTCCTTGATGACATATGATGTGGAGTATATTTTCTTTTTTTTTTTTTAAAGATTTATTTACTTATTTATACAAGCACTGGGTACAGTCAGAGGCGAGGGAGGGTGAGAGAATTCACCAGAGCCAGAGCAGGGAGCAGAACAGACAGACTGACGAAGTACACTGCTGAGGGGAACAGTGGGTGGCAGGAGGAGAGGTCTGCGCGCCATATGGGACCCTCGCCCTGTGGTCGGGAATCGAACTGGCACTACAGAGGCTGTGGGCAGCTTCGCAGGCCAGCGCTCAACCGCTGTGCCACCAGGGAGGCCTATGGAGTATATTTTCATATGACTATTTGGCCCCAGTATATCTTATTTGGTGAGGTGTCTGTAAAGATCTTGGATCACTTTTTAACCAAGTTGTTTGTTATTTTAATGTTGAGTTTTTAAAATTTTGTGTATATTTTAGATGCCAGTTCTTTATAAGATACGTCTATTGCAATTATTTTTTCCCACTTTGGGACTCGGCTTCTCATTCTTTTTACTGTGTCTTTCACAAAACAGAAATTTTTATCTTATCTTTCATCTTTTATTTTTATCTTTTAGCTTATCAGTTAATTTTTTTCATGATTGGTGCCTCTGATGTATGTAAAACTCATAAACTAAAGATTATCTTAATTTTTTCCTATGCTATCTTCTAGGAGTTTTTACAGTTTTGCATCTAAATCTGTGATCCATTGAGTCATTTTTTTGAAGTAAGTAAAAGTATGGATGAAGATTCACCTTTCTGTATGTAAAGTTTTGTATGTAAAGTTTTAAAGTTTAGGTATCCACCTAAACTTTAAAAATATGGGCATTTCATTTTACTGAGAACGGTGAGTAGTAATAATAAACCTAGCACTTACTGGTAGTGCTAATCCTGTACTCTCAGACAATATTTAAGAGCTTTCGTATATTAAGGCCATGAATTTTCATGACAAAACTTTATCTACACTTCAGAGAAAAGAAAATTTATTTTCAAGAAACTAAATGACACAATGACATGTTAAGACCCTTCTACTCATATACCAAAACTATACATGTTATCACAACTTTAAGATTACAGAGCTAAATAACAAATGAAAGGGCAATGGCAGTGCCCTTGTCTAGAGAAGAATACAAAGTTTTTAAAATAGAGAATGTTTCATAACTACATTACACTTACTGAAATATATAGATTTTTACTTCCTTGAATCAGTATGCATTACATATGCCTCAAAGTAAATCTGAAGTAATATACCTACTTAGACATAGAGCAACAGACAATAAGTGAATGTTCATCTAATGAAAGTATTTGCCCTCATAATGTGTGGATTAGTATTTTAAATTGCATGTTGCATTTAATTATAACTCATCAAAATAATTGGAGTTTGTTCACATTATACAGTTGATTAACTATCACAGACTTAGGAAATCTGTTGTAAATCATTCTTATTTACAACCATCAGATATTAGTGATATCCAGGGATGTAATCTGGATAATCAACAATCCTTTCTTAGTCTTTACTGCACACTTTAAACTGTTCACACAAACTAACTTTGAGGCATAAACTCAGTTTGGCTATGTTAGATTTAATCACATTACATTTGTTTGTCTAATTCAAATGTTTTTAACTAACCAAAAATAACATCTCATATAAATTTAGCCTTCCAGGTAAAATAGTGTGAAAATAAACACATGGGATATACAGGCCACCCCAGCTGTCATAGGCCTGTGCTCAAATAATTAGTGTACAGAGAACACAATAAAGCACAGTAATACCAAACTTCGTTATACCCCCCGAAGCACTTTTCACTAAGCAAACTGCCCAACCTATCACTAAGACTGTCCATTTTCCTTTATGATAGTTCTTGTATTTAGAGTTAACAATTTCTACCAGTATTTTGGCATTTGAATCACTGCCACGAGATCCTCATGATGTGAACGAAAAGCAACCCTCAATATCAATATTTAATTTCTTTTTCAGTTAAAAAATGTTTACAATGTCTTTCACTTATTTATGAATACAAGACAACTTTTTCACCTTCATTTTTTGCCATCACAAATACCTCTGTTTGGATTGTACTGACTGAACAATGCAAAATGTGATTTTAATGTCACTTATTCCAACTGGGGAGTTTTCTAGGCTGTATTTGGCAGTGGTGGTGACACCAGGTGATAAAATATTGGCTTTTAGAAGCTGGACATTAGATGCCATAAGGAAAGTGTGTTGTGTACCAGACTCCAAGTATGATTATTCTCCCATGCACTACTCTATCTAAAAGAGGTGGGGATGTAAAGCAAAAATCATCTTGGAAGCAACTGAACGTACATATTTTAAATAAAATTAAATGTGGATTTACAGATAGAAATGTTTGTTCTCAAGAATTTTTTTCAAAAAGAATAAAAGATATAAAAAAAAAACAGAAAGTCATATAGCTAAATTTTAGGTAGGTTGAACCATATGAAATATCCATTTTAGTAAGTGAAAAAATGATCATATTGACAACGTCATCTAGTTTCTCCTTAATTGTAAGGTTGCAAAAGAAAAGATAATAACATTAATTATTACTTAGAATAATGAAAAACATTATTATGCAAGTAAACAACAAAAATAGTGAGACACAGCATTTAATGTCATATCATTTGCCTCCTTTGCCCGAAGAAAGTGTTGTGTATTACCTTAATTTTCAGCTATTGCTCACATCTCACACTCTCTAGAAGACTGTCACAGAGCAGATTAAGAAGTGGCAATATAAATCACAACTTCTGGTACCTAATACCATGGTTTCCAAACACTATGCTGACAAATAGTGAGAGTATTATGAACTCTTCGGTTCAATAATCCAATATTCCAACGGTAGTTAGCAAAAGTAGTGTGAAATAAAACACATTCTGAAATAAATGCCAACGTTAAAAATACTGCTTCAAAGTCTATAAACTTATTACATGCTATTATAAAGTGCCAACAGTTTTCCATTCCTGGTACTTTCGTTTTACTTTAAATCGATTGGAATTACCACATTAAATCTGTGCCTTTGAGAGCTCAGCATGGGAATAAGAAGTCAGATTAAACACAATATGGTCAGCAAACTCACACAGTATAATTATTTTTTCTTATCATTCTAAGCTCTTCACTCAAATCCACATTACATTTTCAAAGCACTAGGTTGTATGCTGTGAAGAAAACAAAAATTTTAGAACTTCTCTTTCCTCAATGAGCTATATTCTAATTTTAAAAATTAAATGTTTTTAAAATTTAAAATTTTAATTTTTTAAAAAAGTTTTTTTAATTTAGATGACATGTTAAGATTGCATTATAAAAAAGATGTCATATGACAGTAAATGATTGTCAGACTTATAGAGTACAAATGTTAGTTTATGCTAGAATTCACATGAAGGGAAGACCTCTTCAGATTCAGTCCAGAAAAGATTTGTAGACAAAATGGCATTTATTTTTCCTTTAAAATTGCTGTTATATGAGAGGGGAGTAGTGAGGCTGTTTTCATTCCAGGTGCCATGGGTTTAGAGAAACGAGAGGAAATAGACAAACTGGTTTCAACTAGTTTCTAATTTTAAAACAACAGCTCCTTTAAGTTCACCACTGTTTCTTATCACATTTTATTTACTTAGACATTTTACTACTCATAATCACCATCAGCTTATTTGTCACTGTATTAATTTATTTATCAAAAATTCTTTGACACCAGAAAAGTCTAATTTGTATCACTTATTTTAGATTCCTCAGAAAAAATACACTCTGGTAAACTTACTAACAGCTGCCTGGAATTGGCTAGAAAAACAAGCCCCACATATTTGGGGACAAGAGAGCGCTGTTTAATTCATTTCAATATTTGAAAATAGAGTTTCTTAACTTGGGAATATTCTTCATTCCCAGTTCCACCACATATTAGCATATGAAAATGTGCTTTTATTTCTCTTAATTCCATAAAGAAGCATAAGGGAAAAAAACAAATGAAATAAAGTTAAGATCCTGTCTCCCATTTTCTTAATTTTCTCTTACTGCCCCCAACTATAGCTAGTGACCTTACACTTGAGGGCCAATTCTGACCAAAGACAGGAGGAATTTAAACTGACTTTTTGGAATTCAAAATGACACTTGATTCATTATTGCCTTCCTCTCAGTATAATTCTAGGTCAATGCATCAGAAATCAATATACCTGAAATTCAATTTCCCAAATGAACAATATGCCAAATGATCAATTTTTACCAAATTTACCAATATGCTAGAAATTTGATATTTTCTACTATGAAATAGCTTAAGTCATTCCTACTAGATGCATGGTGTTTACTTGATTTTAATTTGTGAGGCAATGGTAACGTTTTAAGGATTCTTTGATGACTCTTGCCCTGGTTTTTTGCTGTTATTATTGCTGCAGCCACTTGAAAAGCTGGAATAGAAAGAGGAAGCTCTTTGCTGGGGGAAGAAAAAAAGGTCTGAGCTCATTGAATAAACTAACTTCTGGAGAAAATCAACAACACTGAAATGAAGAATACAAGCCAGGAGGTAGGGGTTAGGAAGTGCAAAGAGAAGAGAAAAAATGGGGAGTATATTGAGGTAGAAAGAGGCGAGATCGACATGTGAAATGGGGACATTTTGCAGGACTAGCAGAGATGAGCGACAGGCAAAAGAGGAAAAAAGAATTTTAGGAATAAGGAGACAGGAGACTGGGAGAGAAAGAGAAGTTGATAAACAGCAAGAAGATACTACAAGATTGAGGAGAAGAACTGAGTGGTGGGGAAAGAGGTTGACTAAAGACTAAAAAGAATACAGACTAAGGGGAATGTGAAGAAGTTATACCCAAGCTGCACAAAAACTAGACTAAAAATCCATCATACAAGGTGTTGTAAATGTTATGAATAACTAGGGAAAAAAGAAAGGTTTGGGTAGATTGTTTACTTTGTTTGGTAAATTCCTTGTGTTTTGATCACTCAGCAGTGATCAATATAATAACTGATCATTGAACAATTGACAGGCTTTCATGATAACATTTCTGGGAAGGTAATTATGAAATGAACACATTTCATGATAAATTTTGAGTATCACAGTTTAAATACCATGTGCTTTGAATGGCGGGGCAAATTTCCAATCACTATCTGCCCTACTGACATGTAGGCTGTGTTCTTTTCTCTGTTTTATCCCAGCATGTTCAATCTATTTTCTAAGACAGGACCATAATATGGCTATGAAAAGGCCATTCCAGATTGTATCAGTTATGGCAAGAATCCTGTCTTCAATATGGAATCAACTTTACACGATGGCAAAGTTCCATTTAAAGTGAAAGCACTGGCATCTGAGCATTTTCAAAGCATTAAGTAAGATGATCATGCCACTCACTGTTGGTTTGGGCATTTTGGTATTTTGTTTGACTGGTTTTAGTTTTTGTTTGTTTGGGTTATAGGATGAGAAAAGTGGTGCTCGAAGGACATAAGAAATTGTGCAAGGTCTTAAGACTTCCAAAATCAGGAATCTTCTCACTCACACCAATAGCAGTAGCTTTGGTATTGGTTCTCCAAGCCCCAGTTACTACAAGGTAAAGAGAAGCCACACACTATACTATGGTATGTATTACAGGAAAGGAACCTCCAGCTTAGAGAATCAGGATTTTTTATGAGGTACAGTAATGCTCATTTCTTTGCACTTTGTTCCAGAGGAGATATGTTTATCACACTAGATAGTAATCATGCTGCACTTTGCTTCAGATAGGCACTATCTTTGTCTTTCAAGGTGCTATGCACACAACCTTCAAATGATAGTCCAGAGAAAAGAGTAACCTCACTCTTAAGATGTGCAGAAACTCAAGAGACTCGTGGAAAATTGCCTCCCCACTGGCTGATCCACATCTGCTTCACGTTAGCTCTGAGATTGTTCTGACATTTGTATTATGAATTGGGATATTTAATTAATAATCTAACTGCCTCATTTGTTCCTTAATTGCAAATAATTTTACTTGGAATGCAGTTCCTTTCTGCTTTTCTCTCCATGTGACTTCATTAGAGACAAAAGATAAATTGCTATGATAATCATGACTTTCTCCTCACAACCAGAAACACTGATTCTCTTCCAAAATTTCAAAGTTAACTCAGACTCCAAGGCCAACTCTATCCCATTTCTGACTTTAAATCTTCTTGTTCCCTGGGGTGTCATTGTGCCAGTAGATCTCTTCTCTCCTTTCAGTTCCTGTTTTTCTCCTTCAGAACTTCTAGGAGCCTAAGTCCTTGACTTAGTCCCATCCCAATATCTGGACCATGACACAGCTGTGAGAACTGTGTACCTTGCTACCATTGTCATATGTGTCTTCTGCCACCTCCCCTGGTCCTATGCCCTATGCTTTTATTTGACCATTAATAAATCTTTTTGCTAAAAGAATTAATCATCCATTGAAGTATTTCTATTATGTCATATTCCTAACTTATTTATTCAACAAATAATTCCTGAAAAACTACTAAGTTTGTGGATCTGGGTCAGGTTGTAAATATGCAGTGAAATTTCCAAATACTATATCTGACTGTTCCTGATTACCTTACTGTTAGTGCCTATAGGCTACTTCTGGAAATATCTCAAGCCCCCTGTCCTGAACTGTATGTATGTGCCAGGCCTGACTCCATAATCCAAATGTCCATTCTGAGAACCATCATGCTTTGTTATCACAAGACACTTTCTTAAATTCCCAAGTGTGGCATAATGTTCTGCATGAAAGAATTTCTTAACATTTGAATAGCACTTGAATAGAATTTCTTAACATTTGAATGTTATAATGTTAGTTTTCTCATACATTAATAGATTAGAGAGAGATTATTATATCAGCTGTAATACATTGTGAAGTTCACAGTTTTTAAGGTGTTTTCATCCACTTAATCTAGTATTTTTAACAATACATTACTTTCTAATATTAAGATATTTGAATATTTTTAAGTTAGTAATTTAATTTTTATTGAGGTTTCATTCATTCTTGGAAATTTTCCACTAAAAGAATTTTATATATTCCCAGCCCCATGGTCTCCTCTTGTCTAAAAAAAACAGTACTTACAGCTATCAAATTTAAGTCCCTTTATGTATTTGAAATAGCTTCCTTCTCAGGTTATATATGCATATTTAATAGAATATCTTTGTAAGTGGGTGTATATTTGTGTGTTTGTTCCTCCGATATGGGTTATTATGGCTAACTGCTAAAGAACTTGCCAAATTTTAATCTTCACAAGGAAAAATTTAGTTTGAAATATTCAGTTTGTAGAAATTTTAAGCCCCAAATGGAACAAAATGATAGAGGATTATAAATCCACCGATTTATAATAATTAAAATGTAGCATGTCAATACATATTGAACATGATCTGGATAAAATGTACTGATATATAATGTGGTATTTGACCAGTGTAGGTAATGATTAGGGAAACAAAGTCCACAGCATCTGAACCATAAATCAAAAGAATTCAGTTTGTTACGCATAGAAATTGGTGCAGCTCATAATAACTTCAAGATGTCAATTCAATTCTGCCACAAAAGCACAAAGCTAAACAATCAAAGACATGACTCTAATGTCAATTATTCCTTTTTTCCATCAAATGCAATCTTCTCTCAATCTTAAATTCTAACCAAGTTAAAAGGCATTAGCTAAAATTTATTTCCAAGAAGGCTACAATCCTTTATGATGGATGGTCATACAAATGAATCAGATTTTGTCTTGAATTATGCAGTTCCACATCCACAGGATTCTTTTACTCTGATTAAACTTCTGTTACCCTTGAACTCTTCCCAATAGAAACAACAATGATTTATACATAAAAAGCTACTAGTCTTAACCCTTCCAGATATTTTCCTCTTTCACAAAATTAATTACCTTTCAAATCTTTTGAGAAATAATAAAATATGAATAGCTGAATGGTACTATGGATGAATGGATGGGTGGATGGATGGATAGCAAGACAGAGTTAGATGATTGATAGATCATACATACAGACATACAGATGTACATACATTGGGATATAACATCACTTACTGAAAAATCTGTCCTTTCTCAGTTATCTGCTAAACTACTTCTGTCATAATTGAAGGGTTTCTGAGCCCTCTATGGTGTTTCACTGGTCTATTCATTTACCTCAACCTTAATTATTGCAATTTATTATAAATATTGATATATGGTGAAGCAAGTATTTTCCCCATTAACATTTTCATATGTGTTGTCTCCATTCTTGACCTTTTGAGTTACATGCACATTTTATAATCTGGTCAAAGACACTGGTGTATCTTACTATACAACCATGAAACTAATTCAACTGTTTTCTTGAACTGTAAGATGCATGACTAAAATTAAAACAGTCCCACAAAATGGCTATAAAATAGGTAAAGTGGTAAGAAAAATTCAGAATATTATTAGGGTGCATTTGTCATTTCATATAGTCTTCATTAAGATCAGTATGGCACAAGAAAGAGACAGTCTGAAGGTCACTACTATGTAAGTGAAAAGAAGGAAATACAGCTTTGCTAAAAGAGAAAATATCTGCTTATAGGCTGCAAACTGAATGGACTGAAAAATCTATCATTTAGAGAATGGCAGGGTGAGATAATTGGAGCAGATGAAAAGATGAGGACACTTAGCAGAATGAAAAACAGATATTATTTTAAGACAGTTTGCACTAGGTAAGGAGACAGATGAAAACCAAGAGCAGATTCAGAATGGGTCATCTCTATCCAAGGAAAGTGACTCAATACTATACATAGTAAATGACAACTGTGTATGCATCAGTGAAAGCAAGATCTGGACCATTTACTACTTAACATTCCATGAAGAAAATCTAAAGCAATGATGAAATTTAACTCTAAAACACCTCATTTTCACTACTTGATTTCTTTAAAAATCCAAATTATTTACTCTCTGCCCAGCATTTCAAAGTCGTATGTATTAAGTTGACTAGCTACTGAAATTAAAGTTGAAATAGGTACACAACAGAATCATTAAGGAGCCCAGTCTAAAACCTAGATTCAGATTTCAAGCCATATATGATCCAGAAATAGTTAACTTCATTCGTCTCTCTAAGCTTCAGTTCCCTAATTTTTACATTAGGAGAAGTTTCCTGGAGTTTATATGAGAATTAAATAAAAGGAGGCATACTAACTGTGAGTTTATATGAGAATTAAACAGAAGGCGGCATACTTACTATGAAGCATATTCTCAGGCACATAGGGAGGAATTGAGATCTAATGAGAGTGTAAGCAAAAGAAAGTGAGAGAAATATAAATACAATTAAAGAAAAGTTCATCAAATGAGATGGGGGTGGAGCAGACAATGATGATTCAATAAAAGATCCAGCAAATATTAATATACAAAAAATTTTTATTTCAAATTGTATTGCATTTCTGCAAAAAGAACTGTTTCTTAAGACATTGATAAAAGGGGAAAATGATTTAGTACCAGTTGTTTATCTTTTCCTTCACTTTCTTTGCTTCAAGGGATGAGCCTTTAACAATGGAATACTATTCAGCAATCCAAAAGATAAACTCATGCCATTTGCAGCAACATGGATGGAGCTAGAAGGGATTATGCTCAGTGAAATGTCAGAA